GAGTTTGCTGATCCCTTTTTCTTGCCTGTCTATGGGTAACAAGCTCCCTCTGCTCAGAGTTTGCTGAACCCTTCTTCTTGCCTGTATATGGGTAACGAGCTCACTCTGCTCGGAGTTTGCTGATCCCTTTTTCTTGCCTGTCTATGGGTAATGAGCTCACTCTGCTCAGAGTTTGCTGATCCCTTCTTCTTGCCTGCCTTGGCCAGAGTCGATTTTCGATTTTAGCAAAGGCTCTTTTGGCCTCTGCTGATCATCACAGCGTGAGTCCAGAAGTCAGGCTGTCCTGGGCTCCGTGGGCCTTGGCAGGTCCAGCTCTGTCCGAAAGGCCACTGAGCCGGCCTGGGGGCTGGGAGGGCAGGTCACCAGACCTGAGGTCCAAGCGTGCCCCCACACAGGGGTTTTATGGGGTCCCAGCCTCAGGAGCATGGGCTGCGGGCAGGGTCCAGGGTCACTTTTGTCCTCCAGAGAGGGGGAGGATCAGCATGGCCCCTGGGCGAGGTCAAGGTCTGCACTCAGCTCAGCCCGAGAAGTCCAGACTGTGCCTCGCCCTGGGGGGCCCAGGACCCCTGGAACCTCTATCCCAGCTTAGACCCTGGCCTGGCAGTGGGACCTGGCAGTGCTGGGAATGTGAGTCCGACCCCAGGGCTGGGGACAGAATGCGCTTGCATAGACGTCCTAATACCACTTCCCTGCAAGCTTGGCCTGAGGCCAAAGGCTCCAGGCTCAGCTGAGGCCGCAAAGGCCAGCAGGCAGACCACACAGGTCGAACAGGAGAACACAGACGTGCAACTACAGAGACTGTGGACAGCCCCCAGAGCGCTTGGCCTGGACAGCCCCTGGCACATGGCAGGTGCTCAGCAGGCAGGCGTGCAGGCTGTGCGGGAATTACTGCACAGTGAGGCCTCCAGAGGAGCCAGGGTGGCCGCTCAGGCGGGCTGACGACGCCTTCCACAGCTTTCCTTTTGGTGGCACTGGGCCTTTGCTGCTGCACAGCTTTCTCTTGCAGCGAGCAGGGGCAAAGTCTTGTTTGGGGCAAGGCTCTAGGGCACATGGGCTTCAGGAGTTGTGATACACAGGCTTAGGTATGTGAGATCTTCCCAGACCAGGGATTGAACCTGTGTCCCCTGCATTGGCAGGCGGATTCTTAACCCCCGGACCACCAGGGAAGCCCCCCTCCCACATCTTACAGTCACAGGACTCTCATCCCTGCGTGTTGCCAGCAAAAGTGGTAAGCCGTTGCTTCTTCATTCATAAAGTGCTTCTCGCCAATCCCGTGAACGAAATTCATGACCACAAGTACCACGATGGACTAGACGTGATGTTTTCCTCTCGATTTTCTTACTTCTGACGTTCAGGGTTTGGACTGGTTCCTTGCGTTGCTTTCGCATTTTAGGTTGTGCCGTGCGGTTGTGGCTCTGCCATGGGTGTCATGGACTGACCTGGGTCCTCCCCTCAAATTCCTGTGCTGAAGCCCCAGCCTCCCACTGCGATGGCACTCAGTGAGGGGTCGTCAGGAGGCTGTCATCGTGATGTGAGGTCGTAGGGCGGGGTCCTGACCCAATGGGGTCAGCGCCTTATAGGAAGAGGAAGGGAGAGCCCTCCTCCTGCTCCTGCCTGCCCTGGGGACAGGCCACGTGGGGACTCGTCACCAGAACCGAGCCCCATCGGGCTTGACCTTGGACTCCCAGACTCTAATTCTGCACCTCGTCCCATCTGGGGTGCTTCGTTGAGGCCATGCGTCTGCAGGCAGACCCCCCTGGTGACCCAGGCCAGGGGGATGGAAGGGAGGCGGGTAGAGGGGGTGGCTCACAGCTGTCTGAAGGCCGCTGTGAGCAGGGCAGTCATCAGAGTCCTGAGGACACTTCTCAAGACGTTCGCACAAAATGCAAACAGCCCTCTGGGTGCACTTGGCCTTGCTGCTGTGTCCCTCTGTGGATGGCAGCCTTGGATCGGGGCAAGCTGCAGCCCTGCCTAAAACCAAACACCTGGTTAGAGGCTGCCCACCCACCCACGGCCGCAGTCCAAGGGGTAACACTGGAGAAGTGGTCAAGGGGAGGGGCCGGCAGCTGGGCGCAGAGGGGTCAGGGAGGGGTCAGGAGGGGACGGTGCATACCCCACACTGTGATGCTGACCAGGATCGCTGGGAAGGCTGGCAAAGTTCTCAGACCATCCACCCTGGAGATGCATTCATCCTGCAGATGCCCACAAACAGCCCCGCAGCCAGATTCCTCACCTGAGCGCTTCCCGTCACACAAGGTGCCCCAGGGCTCACCCACCTCTGCAGGGGCTTGCTTCCCTTCCTCTGTTCCTGGCAGCACCCCAGCCACAGCCAACAATGGCACTGCAGAATCCGTGAGTCCACCCAATAACACTCTGCTCTTCTGCCCTTTGAACGGCTCCGTGGGTCTCAGAGCAGCCCCTCTCAGGAGGAATGCTGTGAGTTCTTAGGATGGGGGCTCAAATCCCAGGGGCTGACAGGACACGTGGGGCACGCATCGTCCCAGCAGGGACAGGGGTGTCCTGTGTGACAGGAACACGCAGAGGCCACTCTTCCTGAAGGCTTCGCCCAGAGCCCCGAGAAAGGAATGGCGTGGACTGGGCCGCAAGCACCCCGAGCTGGTCTGGTGGCTGTCTCTGGGACAGGAGGCTGAGGGTGGAGCTGGGGACAGACACACAGACATGGCTGAGCCACCATAGCCCAGTGTGCTGGCCACGTCCTGCTGCTGGGCGCCACCCCCACCCCCACCCCGCGCTCACAGCAACCTTGAGGCTGGCCTTCCTCCCCCTGCCAGGACCCCCAGGCTACCTCAGGGCAGAGGGACACCCAGGGAGCACTGAAGCCCTTGGCAGCATCTTCCCAATGAGCCAGCCAGCTTCACCCCCCACTCAGAGCTCAGCCACTCAGCAAGCTCTCCTGTGGAGCAGAATTTGAACTTGCTTTCTCTCCATCACACCACTGGTGGCCACTTTCCACCAGCAAAAAAACCAGAAGACCCAAGGGATAGTCACACTGTTCAAGTCTCCTGGGATCCTGACACAGACTCAGGTATTAAAAGATGCCCCTACCCACCTCCGCACCCACACATCCGCCCATCCGTCTGTCCCTGCATCCAACCAGCATCTCCCGGGGGCTCTGTGTGTCAAGCAGTTTCGGGTCCTTTGTGGAGCCCTTCACTCCTGGAAAGACGTTCCCACGGGGACGGCAGACCTGCCCGGAGCCTGGAGGAGGGGAGACCTGAGTCACCCCTGTGAACTGAGATGAGCAGCAGCAGGAGGAGAAATCGACAGGAGAGCAGGCACCTCAGGAAGCAGAGGGGACCCAGACGGCAGTCCCCAGGGCAGGCACCGAGGGGCTCAGAGAGGGGCTGGGGCCCATCCTCTCAGAGGGGGGCCCACAGGAGCAGACAGGCCAGTGACGAAGGGCAGGGCTCTGAGCCACTGTGGGCTGGCCATAGGCACTGAGCAGCGGGCAGGCTTTGGGGAGTTCTGAAGGTGCTGTGGACAGTATGCTGGAGGCTCGGAGGCTGGGGGCCCAGAGGCCAGGGGGACCGGGGGCCGAAGGACCAGAGGCCAGGGGCCCGGAGGCCTGGAGGCCAGGGGGCTGGAGGCTGGGGGGACTGGAGGCCGGGGGGACTGGAGGCCGGGGGGGCTGGAGGCGGGGGGGACTGGAGGCCGGGGGGCTGGAGGCCAGGGGGACTGGAGGCTGGGGGGACTGGAGGCCGGGGGGACTGGAGGCCGGGGGGCTGGAGGTTAGGAGAGCTGGAGGCCGGGGGTACTGGAGGCCGGGGGGGCTGGAGGCCGGGGGCGCTGGAGGCCAGGGGGACTGGAGGCCAGGGGGCTGGAGGCCAGGGGGACTGGAGGCCGGGGGGCTGGAGGCCGGGGGGACTGGAGGCCGGGGGGCTGGAGGTTAGGAGAGCTGGAGGCCAGGGGTACTGGAGGCCGGGGGGGCTGGAGGCTGGGGGGCTGGAGGCTGGGGGCCTGGAGGTGGGCACCTGCCTGAGTCCCAGGGGAACCGCTGGCAGAGGAGCTGCGGTGGGCTCTGGGGGACAGGGGGGTGGTGTGTGCCTCTCCCCGGGCCAGACGGGCCGTCCAGCTGGCAGCAGAGACCAGCCGGGGCTGAGGCCTGGCGGTGGATTGAGGCCAAGCCCTGCGGGAGAAAGGGCCCCAGAGTCCTTCACTGGAGGTCCAGGGGTGCGGGGCGGCACAGAGCTCCCAGGTCAGAGGGGGGAGCCCTCAAGAAAGGAGGAGGGGAGCCCCAGGTGGGGAGGGCAGGGGGGCTTGGTTCCGCCCAGCGGAGGCTCTGGGGGGAGGCCCTGGTTTGTTGCTCAGAGGCTCCCGTCAGGAAACACAGGTTCCAGGTGGACACATGGCAGGTGCCGACCAGCAGGCTGCCAGGGGGCTCCGGAGAGCTCCTCGCCGGGCCTGGAGGGCTAAGGAGCGCCCGCAGTGGTGCTCACAGCAGCCGGGGATCCTCTGGAGGCCGGTGAAGGGCCCCCGAGGGGCGCCCAAGGCACTGCGCCCCGACCCCGCCGCGGGGATCCCGGGCCCCCGCCCCCAGCTCCTCCCACGCTGCCCTCCGCCCACAGGCGAGGCGGCAGGCGAGGCTGAGCCCTCCGCCCGGGTCCCCGGAGGGCGGGAGAAAGAGCGCGCGGGGCGAGGACGGGGCAGCGGATGAGGGGCCGGGGGCGCGCGGGTGGGAAGCCGGGACCGGGGGCCGGTCGGGCCGGGTGGGTGTGCGCCAGCGGCCGGCGGGCTGGCGGGGAGCCGGCGGCTGGGTCGGCGCTCGCGTGTACGCGGGGCGGGCGGGAAGGCTCCGCCCCGGGGCGGGAGGGGGCCGCCGGATTAAAGGCCACCCCGGCGGGCGGGGATCCGGACAGCAGCCTGCGCCCAGAGCGCGCTCTGCTCCGCGCAGCCCAACGCGAGTCCCGCGGGCGTCCAGCCGAGAGCACCAGGGCTCCCGCGTCATGAGCATCCGGACAAGGCACTGAACTACCGCAGCGATGTCGGGGCGCTGGGCTCAGGGCCCCAGGTTGGGGCTCCTGCTGGCGCTGCTGCTGGCGCTGGGCGAGCTGCCGCGAGCGCGGGGCGTCGAGGAGGAGCCTGGCGGCGCGCACGGGGAGACCCAGGGCTTCCAGGTGGTCACCTTCAAATGGCACCACGTCCAGGACCCGTACATCATCGCGCTGTGGATCCTCGTGGCCAGCCTGGCCAAGATCGGTAAGCTGTCTGGGGCTCCGCGGGCGCGGCGGCCGGCCGCGGGGTCTGCAGGCCCCCTCCTGCGCCCCCAGGGAACAGCTGTCCGCCCGCTCCGCCTTCTTCCCGGGCTCCTCCGGCTCCGCGGTCTTCCCTGTGGAAGCGGCGGCGTCTCAGCCAGCTTCCCAGAGGTCGGGGACCGCAGAGGCCAGTACCGGAACTGAGGTCGCTCAGGGAGAGGCTTAGAGACCGGCGAGCCTGGCCGGACCCGGAGCGCGCTGCGCGTGGCCACGGTAACCTGGTCCTGGCCCGGGGGGGCGCAGCCTCCTCCAGTTCCTGGCTCCCCGTTGTCCGCAGTCCCGGCTCCTTCTGCCCGCAGACGCCCAGAGCTGCTCTGCGCGGGGCTCCGGCAGCCAGCTTTCTGGTGTGTTGGGCTTGTCTGGGTCGTTAGTGCAGGACAGAGGGAATGTCCTTGCCTTCCAGCACTGGAGCACTCCGTCCCCAGTGTAGAAAGAAAAACGGTGCCACTCAACATGAAGCGCAGTGAAATCCTATTTATAGGAGTGAGTTTTCCATTGATAGTGTTTCTCTGTTAAAAACCCTGGTCTGAAAGATCACTCTTCTCTCGACTTGCTCCGCTGAGCTGGCAAAGTGGGAATTGCAGGAAACTCCAGGCAAGGTGACAGGAAGGTCGGCTTTCTCAGGAGCAGCTGAGGGCCAAAGTTTCCACACCGGAGGGTCTTCCGGGGTGGTGGACATGTGATGGCATTTGTGTCTTAGCAAGGGGAGCAGGGAGAAGCTCTGTCAGCAGGGGGTCTGAGGCCACCCCCACACACTCACAGAACAGCCGAGACAGGGACGGGTCAGCAGTGGCTTCAGAATGGGGGACTTGGGGGGCCCTGGCCTCCTCAGTAGCATGGGAGGGGCCGCTCTGGGGAGAGTCTGTCCGAGGACTCTGGACCTGGCTTGGGGGGGTCCTGGTGGCAGCTGGTTACAGATTGTTTCTGCTTCGGCCCCGCCTGCATGTGTCCGCTCTGCCAAGCAGCTGCCTTTTAAGTCCGTCACGTCTTTCTATTTCTTCAGGCTCTCTGGCCTCTTCCTTTCCGCTCTGCTCAGTTCCCTGGCCGTGCCTGCCCGGCCCCAAGTGCCCCCCACTCGCTGGCTTTTTGTGGGAGCTCCTGATGTCAGAACTGAAATGTGAGCAGGGGGATATGGTCTCACATGCCGCGTCTGCCCTGGATGTCTCCGCCTCGGGGGGCCTGCCAACACTGGTCACTTGCTGGGCAGGTGCAGCCTCCCTGGGGCTCTAGGAGCACCCTGACCTGAGTCTCCCCTGGGAGCAAACTGGGGGTTCTTCTCTCTTCCACAAAACCATGTAATGATGCTTGCAGGGTGGACCCACGACTGCCTGGGGTCCGCACCTAGGAACTGGAGCACCACTGTGGTGTAGAGCAAGCGTGAACTTTCTGTGCAAGTCCAGCCCAGGCTGGGACACGGGGCGTGCACGTGGGGGGCGGGTGTTACTCTCCAGGAAGAGCCTCCTCCCACCTCCCGGGCACTCCTCCCGAGGGGGCCTTCTCTGGCAGTGGGGAGGGGGGTGTAGCCTGCTCCAGTCTGCTCCGTCTTGAGTCTTGAGGCGGGTCTTCCTGTCCCACCCCTCGCCCTTTCAACAACTCCACCTGAGGGGGACTGCTGCTTCCACTTGAGGCGGGGAAAGGCAGATGTTGGGGGAGGATTGGGGGGCCACGCCAAGGAAACTGAGGGGGCCCCAGAGAGACCTGAGGGGCTGCCCTCCGCCCTGGGCCCCCGCGCTGCCCTGCGTTTGGCGGCTCCTCTGTGGAGGTGCTGGGCCCCCACCCCGCTTTCTCACCACAGCACGCAAGCCGGGCCCCTCTGTGCCCAGGCCCCTCCCAGCCTCGCCCCGTCCTCCGGGACCTGCTGCACTGACCCCCACAGGTCCCCAGGGCCCTCCGGTGGCTCAGCTTGGGCTTCCTGTGATCCCCGCCTCTGGAGCGCCCCCTCCCCTCACCACCCCCTAGGCCTCCCCACCCGCATCCAGCCATCTCCAAGTACCCGTGTGCCCGGCGCCCCCACTGGGAGGCAAGTTCTCCTTCTCCGCCAGCCCGGGGCCCTGGGGAGGGGGTGACGTGCTCCCCGGGGATCTTGAGTCTGCAGCCACCGGCCAGGACCCACTGGGGCCTCGGAGCAGGCTGGATTCCTTCTTCCTCTTCCCGTTCTGTCTCCTCTGCCTCCCCTGGGTCCAACACTCCATGGGCCCACATCGGCCGAGCTGGATCCTGAAGCTGGGGCTGCACTGGGTGGCGGTCCACCCGGGCTGGGGTATCCGGGCAGCTTCCAGAACCGGGGCCTAGAGGGGGGCGGGCCGAGCAGTAGGTGTTCCTCAAGGCCACAGTGGGGCAGAAAGCAGGACGCCCCTCCCCTGCCCTCCACCCTGGACGCGGCGTTCCCAGGGTGGGCGGTGGGGAGTGAAGGCAGCACTGACTTTTGGCCAGAGCTGCGGGGAGGCGTGATTCTCCTCCTGGGCCAGGAGCCACAGGGGCAGGCGGGGATTCACCACCTCCTTCTCCCCCGCCTCTCTCAGGGCGGCCCCCAAGCCACCCGCCGCCCCCACCCCAGCAGAAACACTCCAGGGAAGACGGGTGCCTGTCGGCCCTCCTGGCTTCAAACAAGGCAGCTTGGGTGGGGGAGCTGGCGGGTGTGGAAGCCAGCCGTGGTGGTCCTCAGAGACCTTTGCCCTTCCCACGTGGCCCCTGGGTTTGCAAGAGGTCAGTGTTCAGTTGCCTCCTCCATCTTCACCCAGCCTGGGAGGAAGGGACTCCGCAGGGGGCGTAGGGGGCGTCTTTCCTAATCAGAAGGGTCCCCCGGGCACCCTGAGGAGTAGCTGGGGGCCTCGGGCCTCAGGTGGGGCCCTTTTCACACACACCCCCGCCCTGCCCAGACCTGGGCCTCAGAGGCCGCAGCAGCCTGGCCCCTGGAGACGCGAGTCCCTCTCCTGTCTATGTGCCTGCTGGAGCCCAGCCTTGGGGTCCTCATCCGCCCAGGCTCTGCTCCGTAGGCCCGGGCCCTGTCACTTGTAAAGCACTGTCACGCAACTTCTCATCGGGTCAGCAGGATGCGATCCAGCCCCAGCCCTCGACGGGGGAGGGGGCTCAGACCCGGGTGCTGGGACACCCAGGGCCTCTGTCCTGACCAGCTGCCAAGTCAGTGGTTTCTCTAAAGTGCAGCCCCCAGGTGCCGGAGCGGGCCCCGGGCACCAGTGCAGGCCCCGAGGGGTGCTCCTGGGCTGTGGGGAGCGGTGGCCAGCACCGACCTCCTGGAGTCGACAGCAGGCGACCGTGGGAGTCCCGTGGTGGCCCGGCAGTTAGGGCTCTGCTCTCACAGCTGAGGGCCCCGGCTCTGTCATCTCCCCCACTGCCGGGTCCAGCCCGTGTCCCTCTTCCCTGTGGGAGCACCCTCCTCCTGTGGCCCCCACTGAATTTCCCTCGCATCCCTGAGGGGATCTGTAAGAGGGTCTGGAGGAGGGGGTGACCGGGAAAGGCTGGGTGAGCCGCAGGATGGCTTGGTGGGTGCTCCCCAGCGTAGACGAGCCCATTGGCCCTAGCGGACCCCAACCTGGCAGGACAGATGGATCAAGGCCCGTCGGCCAAGGCCTGGGACCAGGGCCGCTCCCTGGAGTCTCCACAGGAGCGGTGTTCCTATGCTGAAGGTGTAAAGTCTCCCTTCTCAGGAACCGCCTGGGAGAGAATTACTGTGGCTGTAAAACAATTGGCATTTGGAGCTAAGGTGTCTCTCTGGAATGTCCCGGGGACAAGGGGCAAAGGTTGGGAGGCGCTGACACCCCGGTCCTGCCTGCTCGGCAGATGGGACACCCCAGGGAGACGTCCGTCTGGCAACTTCCCACAAGGGCATCCGAGAGAACCACATGGGGCTCTAAGACTGGGGCCCAAGCTCGCTGACCCGTCTGCTGGGCCCTCCCGGTCCCCTTGCCCAACCGGCCCCCTGCGTTGTCTGCCCAGGCTCCCAGCGCCCTTCAGTGGGAGCGTGGAGCGGGTGGGGTCCCGGCAGGCCAGGGCCGGCTCTCCCGGGCCCTCCTTCGCCCACCCCGCCACTCCTCAGGGACAGGGCTCCTCCGTCTCTGCCCCTGCTGGGCCCAGGGACTGACCTCCCCACACTGGGGCCCAGGCTGTGTGGTCCTCCCCGGGCTGAGGGGGGCTCAGCTGGGTGCCCCGTCCCCGAACCAGGAAGCCTTGGGGGCGCCGGGGGGCGCTCCTGCGAGAGACCCGCTTCACCAGGGCGGCCGCACACCTGCACCTGCTCCCATCCACCCCCCACCGGCCCTGCCCGTATCTCCTGTCCCTGCCCCACCCCTTCTCATGCTGTGAAGTCTGTCTCCTCCATCTGTCCAGGGCGGGGGTCAGAGGGGCGCGGGGGAAACCCAGGGGCCTGCGAAGGCTGCTCTCCCCCCAAGCCCTGCCTGCAGAACCCATCAGACGGGCCCGCAGGTTCCCCCTCAGCACCCAGCCCTTCTGTCTGAGGCAGGGCAGCCCTGCAGAGGTGGCACAGAGCCCCAGGCCTGGAGGCCGGCCCGCCCCGGCCCTGCTCCTGCAGGTTTGCGCGCCGACACATGTGCTTGGCCGGACAGCGCCGGACAGTGAAGGGACGGACACTGCAAAGCCTCTAGGTGCCAGCCCAGCAAGAGGCTCCTGAAGCTCCTCAAATTCTTATCTGAATTATCACACAGCTTCCCGTGAGGGGTGTGCCCGGTGACCCCCCTGTGTGCTTGCAAGGCCGGACCTGCTCAGAGCCCCAAGAGCGTGGCAGGGGTCTGGGGTTCTGCGGCGGGGGCAGCTTGCCCCTGAGGCCTGGCCCACAGCAACTCCCCCACGAGCTGAAATTCTGTGCATTCACACCCTGCCCTGCCTCTGGCACAAGACTGGATGGAGGAGACCCACGGGTTCAGACTCACGGGCCACAGCGTGTGCACGGCCGGCTCACATGCCCCC